GACCATTTCCTATAATTTTTAACTATTTATAAAATCCTGAGGGAGGAATTTACAGTATTATTAGTAGAGGCATTATTTAGATGAATAAATTTGGATACTTTTTTATAGTCAACAATATTCTGGTAAAGAAAAAAAGACAAAATTTCTTGGAGTGGTTCTCATTTGAATATGGTGGTTACATTTATTTTTCCATGATTCTACATGTTTTACTTAAGTAGTTTTAATGATTGTCCCGTAATGTTCTGTTAATTTAATTACCTCTCCATTCTTGCTCTGAAGTGACTTAGGGTGAAAATTACCATCAGCTGGTTTGAGCCTCTATTGGAACTCTATTATATTCGTTAATTCTTGTTCTCCCTCTCCGCCTCCCTGCCCCTCCCCTTAGTGTCTGTCACAGTTATTTCAACTAGATAAGACTACAGTTGACTATACTTTGCCATTATCGGACAGATTATTTTTTCTTTATAGGAAATGCTAATTAATGTTTACACATCTCAATGGGAGTTTATTTAGAGTGAGCCTTCCAAATGGAAGCTGTTCTTTTGGATGATTTATTGTGGCAGTGCTACGAATAGATTCTAGATCAGATAGATTGCAGGTAGAGAAATCAGGAGATTATATAGTTCTCTTAATAGACTTAATGACACTCTCATTAATTAGACTGTTAAGGGTCTAAAGGACATGTTTTCTAGGAAGAGGGAAAATGGAAGCTTAGTACTAAATTTATTTTTCTGTGTTATGGTTTGAATGAAAATTAAGAATAATTAGGGGAGGATTTATAGGACTGTGAGATCTGTGTGAAGATTTGGAAAAAATATTTGTTTAAAGGACAAGAAACACAGTTCTTTTAGCGCAGCAGACTTCATAAATTAAATGTCTCCATGGCCTTCTGCTGTCTAAACATCAGTGCTTTCAATTTTTCCTTATAATAGTTAACATTTATTGAGTGCTTATTGTCATTCTGCTTTAAGCACTTTATGTATGTTAACATATATATGTTATGTAAACCTCCCCCCTACCCAAACTCCATGACATAGATATTTGTCATTATCTCAGCTTTATAGATGAGGGAATTTAGGCACAGAGAAGAAACTTAATTCTGGTCACAAACCTAGGACACAGTGGAGCTTGGATTTGAACTCAGGTGGCCTTGCTCCCGAAACTTTACTCTTAGCCACAGTGTTGTCTTTATCAGAAGATACAGTTTTCAGTTTAAGACTGTCTGTGGAAGGCATTCTTATTCTGTAGTTTTAGTATTCTTCATAAATAAAATATTCAAGATATAATCTACTTAGTTAATCAGTACAATAAGACTGGCATTTTTTATTCTGAAACCTATCCCATTGATAAATTGAGTAATAATTGCAGTTGTTTTATGCATCTTCTAGCATCTAGAATCTAAATACCTGAAACTCTTTTTTTGGCCTTTCTTT